ATGACCAGCCGTTACACACGTGCGTTGACACATGGAGGCTTAAGTGCGCCAAAGCACATAGCCACTGTTGGAGATGCGTGTTGGTCCAAGCGAAGTTGTTGCGGGCCATCGGTTAAACTCTTCCAGGCGCGCCATGTTTTGGGAACCACTCACCCTATGTCATATGGCTGTGGGTCCAAACCAATGGTACCATTTTGGGGTAGGTGCACCGCCCATTTTAGTCCAGTTTAGTCCAATCTAATTAGTCGGGATTGGGATGTTCACTGCGGGCACGGGGTTTTGACGCATTGCCAGATGGGAATCCATTTGGAATGCGCCAATCACTGGACACGCGTGCTGGAGAAGCGTGAAGTGAGGCTTGCCTTTGCGCTGCCCTTCCCCTGGAGAAGCAGGGTGACCGAGTGCGCCCGAGAGGGGAAGGCGCAATTCCGCCTTACCTATGAGCCTTAGCTGCAAATCACATTTTCTTTAATCCTCCCAAATCCACCCCCCCAAATCCCCATATTCATACAAACCCAAAATAGCGGGAGGAGTCAGGGCACGCCGGCGAAGTAACAATTGCAAAGTTCAGGCTACCTGAGTTGAGAGGAGATCGCATGTGTAGGATGCCTTTGGTAGGGTAAAGTTGTGCGGCGGCATTTTGTTGTACTTCTTTGCGTGTTTGGCTGCTTTGGCCTCAGCTTGCCAACGCTTGACTGGACGCGGTGTTTGTGTTTCGTTGATGATTTAGCGTTGTGTGTTTTCAGCTGATAGGCTATAGGCTTCATGAATCTCCAAGCATGGCCTTCTCTTCCAGAAGGGTCAGGCAGGAGCAGATGTGCTTGAGGCACTCTGTGCTGATATGTGCACTCATTGTTTCTAGGAACAGTTTGCCAAATGCAGTTTCACCAAAGGTTGGCAGCTTGCACGCAATTGCACGCATACCAGGCCATGTTCCTGCTTGCATCTTCTTGGCTTGTGCCGTTTCGGAGAAGAAAAAAAAAACGCCCAGGAGCAGGCGATGGGTCCCTTCTTGGGCTTTGTCCACAGCCACGTGGTGAGCCCACACGCTGCTGGATGCCGAGTGGACGACACCATCGAGTTCGAGCCTTGGCTTCCGAAGGGCCGAGACCAGTTCACGTGGAACCCTTCGACGTTCCTTTGACCCAGTCCCTTTGAAGGGAAAATGGTCTAGTCCTCTTCCAGCCCCCCGAAACGTGGAACGGTTTCGTGTGAAAAGGGCGGGAGCACAGGTGTCCTTGTTGGTTGTTTTGCTAGAAGAAGAGAGGGCGATTCCTGGTTTACTTGGTGGTTCAGTCATCTGCCAGGGCCATCTATATCCCCTAAAAGGACACCTATGGGTGGGAGGCTAGGTAGTTTACACAGGCAATGCAGCTGGCCCTGGAGCTGTGTCAGTGAGGTGCCCATGGTGCATGCTTGTGCGGGGGGTCTTCATGCTTTGACACCCTACGTCCACCCTAGGGTTTAACATTAATTAAAAGAAAGGCTACCCTCCTTCCCACTAACATGGCAACTGACAGGGTCCCTTCAAAACGAAATTCATCTTCCAGGTACCTCCCACAGGTGCCGTTGGAGGAAGGCCAGGGTCCACTTTGCTTGTCAGTCTGGCAGTTTTGTGATCATTGCTTTGGCCCCGGCGGGCCGTGAGGAGCGCTTGTTCACTCTACTTTGGCCGATCGGACATGTCATTCCGACTGGCTAATAAGAGCTAACCCGCACCGGGTCTTGTCCCGTACACTAGGGAAGCAATAGCGCGACAAAGAACGGGTGCCGGCACTCGTCTCAGGTGGTCAGTGGAGGCCCTTTTAGTCGCCGTGGGACGTCCATATAGGGAGAGAGAGACGCGCTACTCATGCTGATTGGGCACGGCTCCGTGTCCACCCCCCAACAAATTTCACGCATGGAAGGAAATACTCCCGCAAGGCTTGAGCTCCTTTTTCCTGGAAAAGCAAACTTAAATTTCAGCAAACATATTATTCCGCATGCAATTCAGGGGAGCTCATCCGTGAAATGTGTTATTCTTACAGTCGGGTACGAGCAGAGTCCCGATACTTGTTTGATGGAACAACAGGCGGTGGTTTTCTGCACTTAAAAGCCTATCACTGAAGAGGTGCTCGCAATTCAGCGCCCACATACCATGCTTATGGGCAGTGTCCATGTGTTCAATGTATGCAGATGGAGCGCATGCATCATGTCAACGATTTGCAAGCTGTCAAGGACGTCACCTCGGAGCCGATCGTCAACACCATCACGTGGCATGTGCTGACCTTCTTGCTGCAGGGCCGCTGCAGGAACCTCAACGAGAGCCACGGCGGCCACCTTGCTTGAGATCAGGCGGCGAGGAAAGAACGGATCGGAGCACTCGGACGGAAAGAACGGATCGGAGAATGTGCAGGTGGCACCACCACTTCTCGCAATTCGGCGTATGCTGTCGGATGCTGCCGATTTCAAGACCAAGTTACCAAGCTGCAGATTCGACTTTCAAGGCCTAAGCCTGCGTCTCTATGTTCGCGCCTGCGCGCAAGCACGGCGTGGCGGGGAGGTACGAATCTTCGCCGAAGGAAAGGGTGCAGGATCAACTGCTCAAGTTGCGCAGACCCTGTTCACCCGTGCACAAAAGAACGAACACAATGTGATATTGTATGGATTCCTTTACTACTTAAGAGCGCAGCAAGCAGACACCCATTCTCATTTTATGCTCATGCCCGGCATGCACGGAGGTTGTGGCGTTCATTGGATTGTCAAGTTTGCATTCTTGGAGCAAACTTGCCCCCCGGACGTCAGGTTCCATGTTAATTGTGAGCGGATCTTTGGTTGACTTGCTGGCACCCCCCAACGGGATCACGACTCCTTTGACCACCATACTGGGTGTTCACATCCATGGTGAAAACTACCCACAGCAATGTCGGACAGCCGGAGCTCCACGAGTGCAAACGTGATGCTGGCCTCATCTGGCCTCTCACCCGGGCAGCGAGCCATCAGGCTCACTCGCATCCGCCGAAATCATTTCGGCCGGCAGCTGGGGCGCAATACCCCTGCCTCAGATAGCGAACTTGGGACGGAGACTCCGTCAGCCCAGCCCTGAGACGCTTTGCTTCTCCGCACGCATGGGAGAGCCTGCAGGGTTTCTTCTGGATTTTGACCCTGAAAAGCCGGATACGTGCAACAAGCCTGGAGAGTACAGCCTTCCGAGCAGGGCAAAGCATGCGCAATGTGTAGTACTAGAGGGTGACTTGGTGAGTGAACCTTGTACCCAATATGTTGAAAGCACAAGCATTGCAGGCTTGGCTGCTGGAAAACGTTTGAAAGCAACTCAGGGGCGATGATTTGTTGCTCGGGTTTATCAGCCACCCATCCGATGTACACACAAACAGATGCTCTCCAGGGGACTCGGACTCGCTAGAAGACTGGGATGGTTTGGTTGCTTACAAAGGGGTTCTGCCGGGGATGTTGACACCTAGAGTATTGAACCAAACAAATCGTTGTGCCACATAGCAGGCTCATCCTGAAAGCTCTGCGAAGAAGATTTTGCTGAGGTGACCGGGGGCAATGAGGCCGGCTGGGCTGACTTGCCAGCTTTCTGTGTCGATGTGAGTACTGCCTTGGAGCAATTTGCAGGCTTGTCCTTTGCAACAGCTTGCCGGCATCTGCTGGCAGAATATGATAGAAAAATGCATTTGCTTGTTTGGTAGCATCCAGCCTTCGTTTCAATCACCAGAAACACTCAAGCCAAACTATGTCCATGATTTGTCCATTTAAAAGCGTGATTCCACACCATGGATTACCATAGGACGCGACTCTGACTTATGAACCACCGGCCCTCACATGTTGGCATAGAGCATTCTGAACAACAGTATTCAGTATGTGTCCAGATGCTTCTCCCAGATTTCCACCGAAGGCCAGCTTGTCTCATGTCCCGAGTCACAGCGCGAAGTGCGGGCAGGATGAATGAGGCAAGGCTTGCCGCAAGAAGGCGTGCATAAGATGAAATCGAGGGCGATAGATCCACAATGGTCTTGCTCCTGGCCAAGTGGGGGTTGATCAATATTCGTGGCCCCCAAAAGGAGAATGGGGGACTTTTCCCATGGAAAATGCTAGTCTGTTTTTTATGGTTTTCCCCAATGGTCGTTCCATGCAAGGTATCCCAACCCTAACTGACCCCCAAGTGCAAGGCGGAGCTGTTGCCCAGGCTTCTAGCAATCCGCATGCGTGAGAGGCAGCTGTGGGCATGGTCTTGCTTGCAAGTGGCAGCGCTCCCAGCCGTCTTGATTGCTATTGGGCTGGATCTTTAGACTTTAACTTCTCGGTTGAAATCATTCGGTATTGATCCCACAAGAAGTTGAATACTTTTCGGTTGAACACATTTGGGTTTTCCATTGGGCCCAGAAGAAGCTGTGGGCTCAAGAGTGAGATCTGTTTGTGACAGTTACATCTCAACGGAACGTGTATCTCCTTTCTATGCACAGCAACCGTGGACGGGTTGGGTGGCTTGAAGAAACGAGCGGCAACGCCCATAGCAGTGTGTTTTCGGTAACGTCAACGATATGCCTCCGCCCATGATTGCTTTTGAGGCTGATTGTTTAACTCTGACTTGTCGCGAGGGCTCGGCCCCGTGTTGCAGCTAGCAGGTTAAGCAATCCCATAGCCAAGACATGGTAAAGGGCTTGCACCAGACTACGTATTTGTGCAGGTCGACAGGCTCAACTTTGTACACTCATACATGCTTTCATGCAAACAGCATTGCAACTGAAGGCTCGTTTATTGGCTCAGCCTTCTGGTGGGTGTAACTTCATGCTCGAGCCAAACACGAGGATCCTGGAAACCACAGAGCCGAGCAGCACCGGAGCACCGCATGTCCAGGTATGCTGACTGAGCCGAACAAGTCCAATCAGATCTATCAAAGTCGTTTGCTCCCCAGTGAACTCCCAGCAAACCATCATTTCAAACGCAAGCCGCAGCCACCCAATATTTGAAACCCCAGTCACACCTGGATCCCGCTACATCCCCAAGTGCATCCGCACCAACAGCCTAAGCTTTCGCGCCGCCCGCGGCGACGGCCGAAGCTTCCGATGGCCCGCCGCGCCGCGCGGCGCTTCGTCGCCGCCTGCGCCTTCGCCTGGGCCGCGGGAGGGGCCGCGGGAGCCGCGGAGAGCTTCGCGGTGCGCGGCGCTCAGAAGGCCTCGGCCTGGCGTGTGCTGGGGCTGAAGCGGGGCAGCCCCAAGGACTGCGGCCCTTTTCGGGGGCCCTAGGGCACCTGTCGCAGTCCGTGGAGGGCATTCCCGGGATAGAAGCTAAGCTGCTTGAGGAAGAAGGCACTGTTTGCTGGGGAAATTGGGTTGATATGTGGGGTGGGTTGAATCAGGGCTACAGCAGCAACCAAGTCCCGATTTCTTAGGCCCCGCGCAGCAAAGTTGTCTATTTCTCAATGACCATCTCTGTTTCTCTTCTTGTTCCAGTTGGTTCCCCCCCCCCGCATCAATATCCAAACCAAGTTTGCCCCTTTCCCCATGGCCACTAAGCGACCCAGAAACCAAGGTTATGGAGGTCTAGCTGGTGTGAGGGGCCCATTGGGTCGGTTGGCCGCCCTTTCCCCGGCCAACTCGGGCAGTTCCCTATGGGTTGTCACGTCAGGAGGACATCCGCAAGAGGTACCGGGAGCTGGTGGTGACGGAGCACCCAGACAAGCGCCAAGACGCGAACGCCTCCGCACGCTTCGCGGAGATCACGGCCGCCTATCGAGATCTCATGGACCCCAAGCGTGAGGAAGGCCTGGAGGACATGCAGTGGGACCTGGAAGCTGAGTTCCCGGAGCAAGAGGGGGATGCGGACTCCCTGGTGGTTCTGATCGCCATTGTCTTGTGGGTTCTCATTTTCGGAGTGCTGGCGGCCAGCCAGGACTTCCTTTCTTGGGATAGTTGCAGTCGCCAGTGGGACTGGTGGTGCTACCTGAAGGGTGGCTGACTCCCTTTTCGTGTCCATTGGCCCCTTAGGCCCCGGCACCAAGCGCTCGGCCCCAAGCGCTCTGGCAGCGGCTGCGTAGGAAGGCAAGGGGAGAGGTTAGATGCAATGCAGGTGCTTGTGTTGGATATATGGGGGTGTCTTTCTTTAGGGCCCCCCGAAATGGTGGGTGTTGCTGTTACTGTTGGGCAACCCAGATTAGACTGCTGATCAAAGCACCCAACCCTCCCCGAGCTTAGTGGCAAAAAGCCGCTGCGGATGAACCTGCCAAGCTGCGAGAGAAAGCACCGCTTGACGTGCTTTATGAGTTCATGGGCTACAGTCACTTGAGCTCACTTGCTGGGATGACCATGTATCTTGGCAAGCAAAAGGTGTGGTTATTTTTTGTTCCACTCGATCGGGAGGGAGAGAGTCCTCCCCTCAGGTCCATGCCATGACACCGAAGAGGCGGGCACGGGGGCTGGGTCCCATTCACAGCCGCGCAAGCCCGAGGCTTGAAATAGGGCATGGTGCAACCAGCCCTCCATCTGGTTCGACGACCTGTTAGAGACGCTTAAGTGCAAGCCAGCAAACGCGGGTCAACTGGTCAACGAACGCGTTGCCAGACTGCCCTTTCTGAAGGTTGGTGTTCGTGGGCGTGTGAGCTCAAGAACAAAACAGCTGGGACTCAGAGCTCGGTAGCACGCCAAGCTGCGTGCTGTTGAGAGGCCGTGTTGGTTCTTTATCATGGCATTGTCGCGCCATTTTGGGGTAGTGATCTAAGAAGGTTTCTCAGAGGCTGCGAGTTGGTTTAGCTAAGTTCGAATGGAAGCAACTTAGACCAACTTGAGAAGGGGGGTTGGTGCTTGATGGCCTGAGAGAATCCTGAAATTTGAGGCCTTAGGCTGATGTCCTGTACAAAAGGAAAGCTCTGATAAATCTGGTTGGGACTGCTTGTGGCTGGTTTTATCAGTTTTTATGGACGGTCGGTTTGAATCTCCAAGTGTCGATGAGCTCAGCTTGGCATATTGCAAGTTGCCGACGACGATTTTTGGACCAGACTTCCAAACCTTTGTTGCTCTTTCTGCATGGATTTCCCTTTGAACCGACAGGGTTTCCTTAGTTTCCCTTTTGGGAACCTCCAACAGTGGCAGTTTCAATGGACACCCCCCCAGTAAATTGATCAACTTTTGGGGGAAATCCAGTGACCCCTGACCGACCCAAATCGCTGCCCTACCTTCCCGCGTGACCTTCAAAGGCGGCACAGACGTCTGCCAGGTCTGACACCCTGGAGACCTCCAGCCGCGCAGAGAACTCTACACGCGCCATCGGCCCAGCCGGCTTTTGCCTTGTTTGTGGAAATGTTGTTTCAGGCCAACATGTTTTTGGCACTTATGAGTTGCATTGAACCGATTTTTTGGCACTCCGCCTTTTGCAGCAGCACTGCTGGCCAGAATGTTCCACCATCGCTCAGCGAGGTGGAGCCCGGCTGGCTGGACCTTGAATTACGGAGAGTTCGGGCATCCCTGAAGCCTGAGGCGAGTAATATGGTATAATATGGCTGTGGGTCAAAACCAATGGGATCCCATTTCGGGGTAGGTGCACCACCCATTTTAGAACCTAAATTAGTGGGGAAAAAGGGATGTTCACTGGGGGTACGGGATTTTGACCCAAATAACCTCTTGGGGGGCTTGGAAAAAAACTTGTTTTGCTTCGACTGGCCGCAGGGAGAGCGGCTGAGGCGTCGCTCGTAGAGCCTGCACGCTTCCACTCGACCCTTGAGCAGGCTTCACGAGTCTGCGAGTCTTGGCTGCAATGGGTCCGTTTTCGGCCGATGGGTTTGGTTTCTTTAGCTTGGAGCGGGCCCAATGGGTGCTCAAGCAGGTGGGCCGTCCAAGTTGGGGCAAATGTTGGAAAGCGTGGCTTGCCATGACTGGCCGAGCCATAGCAGCATGGGGCCCATGAAAGTAAAACTAACTAGAGAGGAGAAAACAGTTGTTTTTCCTGGTGGCGCAAGCCGAGGCTGCTGTTACTTGCAGGGCGTGCACTTGTTTTCATATGGGCGTGGGTCAAAATAGGCGATTACCCAAAATGGGTTACCCCGGGCAAAAAAAGAAACAAGGACTAAGACCTGCGGTCCATATCCTGCGCCCATAGGCGCCGCCAGTCATGGCGGGCAAGATCATGTACCTTACGCCGGTGGGCTCGTCGACCACTGCGGGGCAGCGACCGCCTCAGATCGAACTTCCCGAGGCAAACCGCCCTTTTTGGAGTCCTAACAATGCAGAGCCAAGCCAGGCGTTTGCCAGGACATGTGGTGAAAATACCCCTCCCTACAATCATGGAAGCTGAGGGTTTTGGAATACGACTTTCCTGTTGGGGAACCCCCTCCGTCCACGTCCATGATTGTTGAAAAGAGGGTAGAGTTGGCAACCAGTTCTTGGGGGTCAGGGAGCCCTTAAAATGGATCCCTAAAGGGCATATGCGATACTGACTGGGCCCTTGCTGCTTCCCAACATGGAACAACCATGGCTGGGCCGCATGGTGCGACTGTTTGGCTTTTATGTGCAGTTTTCTGGAGGTTGCCATGCGTATCAAAGTCGAGCTGTCCTTCATTCAGGGCTTCCATGACCTTGTTTAGCATGTTTTGGGAAGCATTGATCTTACAGAGGAACCGGATTCTATGTTGGGATGGCAATGCCTTTAGCGCATGCTTCGCATTGGTATTCGAACATCAATCCACCATGCGCAAAGATGGCGTCGGCTGAGCCTCCTCGTGCACGATGCTCCAGCTTCGCGGTTTTGCCTCTTCCCTGCTGGTTGTGTATTTCTTGCACCTGAGTGTGCCCCAATTTTTTTGGACTTCGTTCGGATGGCTAACTCAACATGCACAACCAGGGGTCGGACTCTCGTTTTGGAAGCACCCACATTGACCTGTCGCTCTGAGTTCCCAAATGGCTGCGGTTGTCAAAACCAATGGGATCCCATTGTGGGGTTTTCGGTGCACCACCCAGTTTAGAGCCCATTTTAGTGGGGGAAAAAGGGATGTTCACTGGGGGGGGGTACGGGATTTTGACCCACGGCAAAATACGTGATGTTCTGCTTATTTCCCTTCAAGAAATCCCACAAAGGCTGACTCCCTGAGTTCCTTTTCACACGTTTTCGGTTTGGACCAGTTCAGTGGTAAGCAAAACGCTTGGTCACTTTGGTTCAAATTCACTCAGGAAGTGTCCTGTTGATCGGTGGGCCCCACTGGTTGCAAATCACCCAATTTCTTGGGGGAGGGCTCCCCTACTAAGATAAACTACAGACAAAAGAAACGGTACCAACTTATTCTAAGCTCTCTCCTGGAACCTAGCTCTGCGTGTGTGTGGCGTCCGCTGGACGGATCGACTCAGGTGGGGCGCATGGCGGCTGAGCGAGGACCCCGAGTCCCCCAGCACCGCAGCCAAGGCCTCAGGCGGATTCGCTGAGTGACGTGGGTTAGGCTTTTTTGTAGGTTGGACCCCCCCAAAATGGTGGGTTTTCTATAGTTGGGGAAAACCCCTCTATAGAATGGTTATAGCTACTATATAGCTGTTATGTTTTCACTTGGGGAAAATGGCGGCTTTTAAAGTTTTCCTCTAGTGTTCCTTGGAAACGAATCAAAATCGGGCTCCCCCAACTTCTCTTTTGCGCCGCGTGTCTTTTTTGGTACCTGCTGTTTTTTTGTTTTTTTTTTTTTGTGTGTGTGTAGTAAAGGGAATCCAAAGTTAAACTCAGCCATTTTGGGAGGTCCCCTTAACAATGACATACCCAGTTGACAATATGAGTATCACGCGAGTTGTGATTTTCCGCAACCAGCGGGGACCCAAACAGCATGACCACTTCCAGCCACAATTCAGCTGACCATCGTTGCATGCATTGCAGCGCCAAGTTATCGACCATATTCTAAAATCCAGTTTTCCATTGGGCCGATGGCACAGCGCAACATTTGGCATAGGGAATTCTTACGGAAGCCAATTCTTATTCCCACCGCCAGTCTCGGCTGTCTTCAACTTCCGGAGCTGAAACCCCATCAACCGTGGCCAGTTGCCGGGGGCCACCCCTTCGTCATGTTAGCCGGGAGGGCGGCGCGTTGCGAAGCTTGCTGAAACGCGTTCTTGCATGAATACTGAAACTTATATTACCCAAGATCCCAACACCAACCCCGCGCAACACGACACGACCACAGCTCAGCATTGAGAGAAAGCTGTGGGGAGTTGCCTTTGCGCGCAACTCGCTGGTTGCTGGGCTTTTAGCATCGTGGGTAATGATCCAAATATCGCGTGTGCTTCAGACATCCCACCCTGTCTCCTTGCAAGCTTGCAGCATGAGGGGCCTTGCCAGGGCGGGCTTCTTCTGATAAGGAATAGTTGTTTTCAGCGGCCCTTGGTGTGCTCAGCCGTCTGAGACATGGAGCTTGGACTTCATGAAGCGGGATTGGCAGCGTCTTGGCTGCACTGGAAGTTGCGGGCAATCAACACGCAGGACAAGCAGGCCTTTGTTTGAGCACCTTATTTTTTTTAGTGCAGCCTTGGGACAATGCAATCGCTGGCTTGAAACCTTGGCACCTTAAGCATTGCATGTTCTGGACAACGCTGTTGATATTCGTGCCTTCGCACTTTTGGTGAGCCCTGCGGTTTGTTAATAGACCCTGCGATGTCTTCGGACGTTTTGCAACTGGCGCAAGCACTGAGCTGCGGGAGTTGCACCTTTAGCCAAGGACTCTTCACATCACTGCGGCCGGCAATCTCTCCGTGGCTGTTTGCTTAGCTGGGGTGGGTTGCAGATCCGCCTTGCCGATGTGTTTTTTGTTGCATAGCGAAAGTAGGCCAGAGGCCAAGGCCTTGCAAAGTCACAGGTGCTGTTCTTTTAGAACAGAGCTTGAGAATGCAGGGTGACAATTCATGAGTCGTTGGCTCTGGTTGAACTAACGGCTTGAGGTTGCCAAGCCGACCAGCAGAGACAAGCTGGCCGACACCTACCTGTGGTCGCCAGAAGGCCGGCTCGCCCCGCCGATTGGTTGATCATCATCTTATTGGCGAGGCGATGTTGGGCATATCTCCAGCAATCACATGGACCTTCGGGGGGTCTACGGGCCAATGGCTGGGGGCTCCAC